GAGTACTGAAATTAAGTACAATTTATAGGTAATTGTACTTCTACTCCACTACAATTCAGAGGTAAATGGTGTACTTATACTCCACTACATGTATTTAATCCCTTTAGTTACTTCACAGATCTGGATGAATGATGTGAAATCTAATCAAGTGTTAAATCAGACTTTAGTTCCACCTGGAGTAAATTCACAAGCTACCCTGCAGTATATAAAGTCATTCAAACTAGCTGCACCTTTACCAGCTTTGAGAACACTTTCATGATCAATCATTATAAAACATATCATATATATTATTCTGAAATGGACCAATCTGCACAATGACTACTTTTACTGTCGCTACTTTCACTATATTTTGAATGCAGGACTTTTACTGTAACAGAGTATCCCTACACTCTGGTACTTCTACTTTTACTCAAGTACATTATCTGAGTACTTCTACTACTTTTACTCAAGTACAAGATCTGAGTACTTCTACTTTCGCTCAAGTACAAGATCTGAGTACTTTTACTTTTACTCAAGTACAAGATCTGAGTACTTCTACTTTTACTAAATTACAAGATCTGAGTACTTCTACTTTTACTAAAGTACAAGATCTGAGTACTTCTACTTTTACTCAAGTACAAGATCTGAGTACTTTTACTTTTACTAAAGTAAAAGATCTGAGTACTTCTACTTTGACTCAAGTACAAGATCTGAGTACTTGTGTTTCCAATCAATCAAAAGCAATAATGTTACCACAGAGCGATCAAATGTTATCCCAAATTCCTTTAAAAGGATTGATATGGGATTTTTATTTATTTTACCTCCTTTTTTAATCTGTGGTCAGGCAATGCTTAAACTATGTCAGTCAAGCAGGCAGGAGATAATAATAATAATAATAATAATAATAATAATAATAATAATAATAATAATAATAATAATAGATGCAATTTGTATAGCGCCTTTCAAGGGACCCAAGGCCGCTTTACATGGGGAACAAACAAACAAAAAAATTATTAAAATAAAATAGATTTTATAGAACTGCTGCCGACTCATAAGTGCGTTTCAGTCAGTGTGAGCTGAGGTTGGTTCGTAATTTGGTAGAGAAATATCGATTTAAAGCAACAATTTGGGGGAAATGGGAGATTGGTATGGCTCTCACCAACATTGCTGCTACTGCTAGCATCGGGTTAGCTTAGCTTAGCATTGCACAAAGACTAGAAACAGGGGGGAAACTGCTAGCATGACTCTCCTGTTGACTACTACTACCTCGCAAGACTACTAGTAAACAATTTATACAGTATGTTCTGTATTTATTTCTAAAAAAGTTAAAAAATGCTAAGTCATGTTTAAAGAGTTTTGTTCATCGGACAATTTCTTTGCTGAGCAGCGTAGACTCCATAAAGCTATTTATATGGATAAAGCAAACACAAATGAAGCAAACTAGATATATGAAGTTATTCTGTGAGCTTTAGGGAGAATAGTTTAGTAGATAAATAGTTTTCTTGTCACCTTTGGACACAGCAAGGCTAGCTTTCCAGGTTTCAAGGCTAAATGCTAAGCTAAGCTAACGGGCTTTAGCTTCATATGTATGGAACAGAGTGGTTTCCATCCTCTCGCTTCCTTGTAGCAAGAAAGCAAATACGCTTATTTCCAATTTAAACACAATAATAGCACATCATTGTTTAGTTATACTGAACATTAGAGACATCTGTAGTTGTTAATTTCACAATTACAATCAACACAATAGCCAGGAATAACAAACAAACACCTACGGGCTCATTAATCCTGTTGCATTATTCACTCCTCGTAGTTTAATCTCTGTGGCTCTGTTGTTTGCTACGCTGCACTACGGTGCATATGCAAATGCATTATGGATGATGTTCAGATGCCAGTGAATATGCTAACACCGAGCGCTACATCGTGTAAATCGTAGTAAACCCAACGCAGAGAGGCGAAGCTGTGAATAATTATCAATATTTGAAAGTTATATGTAGCCTACCAAAAAGTAAACATAGGCACGTTTATTTATATAGCACATTTCAACACAAGGCAATTCAAAGTGCTTTACTAATTGAAAGACATTAAAATGGCATTTAAAAACACTCATTTAAAAGCAAAGATGATAAAACATGAATTACAAAAGGTGCATGAATGAAAGTGACAGTGCAGTGTGAGATACACACATCTGAAATGTTTAGCTCTGACTCCACTTTTTAGCAGAAATAGTTTTCTTTGACCTCACTTTCTTTCTACTTTCTTGTTTAACTTATCCTTTAGTTATTTCAAGTGTTTCATGCTAAACGAACCCCCCTTTGGAAAATTATAATCCGACCCCATGGTACCTTTTAGTTTTCGCCGAAACTATTCCTCTTTTTTAAATGCGCATAGTTAAGTTTACCTTGTCTTTCTAGGACTTTTTTGGTGTCCTCCTTGAAACCAAAACGAATTCCTGTACCCCATGGTACCTTTTAGTTTTGGCTATTAGTTTTCGCCAAAAATGGGGCGAAGCCTGCGAGCTAGTTCAGGCAGTCAACTCGAGCACCAATGATACATTAACATGTGACGCACCTCGTCCCTTTTACAACCAACCAAACACTTTCTCCTAAACATGCCGCTCTATTTAAGCTGCCAGGTCTTCCTGCCTCTGCCTCGCTCATGCTGCTGCTGCCACTGCTGTGTTCACTTGCTAATGCTACGTTCATGTTGCTGCTGCTGTGTTTCATGTTGCTGCTGCTCGCCTGCCCCACCACCACCCCAGCTCCACCCCAGCTTCCACCTGTAGGCTTGGGGGATAGTTATCTAATCATCACTCAATGTTCTTTGTAAATCTGTGGAGTGATGAGGCCCGAGCCTAGACGCCAAACTCAAACTATACGCTGCTTCTAATAAACATATTAAGAAACATGTGAGTTGTCTGACTGAACTAAAAAACAACATACCATGAGTCCATTTTTTCTCTGCGTTGCTCCTGTTGCTTACAAGACAAGATGAGACGAAAGACGAAATTTAAATCAAAAGCGAATTACTTATTCTGGATAGTGGCTCTAAAAAAGAAAACGTTAACCCTGCACTGTAATGGATTTCCAATAGTTTTCTCCCCAAAGTCAGACTACTTTAAAGCTAAGTAGTTAAATTATTCACCGGCGCTCGCTCCACCCTGTAAAAGCCAATTAGGACGAACGTTTCATGGAAATTAGAAAACCGTATTTGATCTCCTGATGTCATTTTGAATTCAAGAAGGAATAAATTATACAAATTTGACACTTCCAAAATTAAAGAGCCACTGCTGTCAAGTAGATAGTTAACGAGATAAAATCCAAACGATGTGATTTTATTATTTCATTTTTCACCTCTTAATTTAACCGTTCATGCTTACACATATATTTCCTCTTCATGTTCATAGTAACAGTGAGAAGCGACAAAAACTCAAACGTTGACTTTAATTATATGTCAATACATTTCACATAGCTGTATTTCAATCAGGAGAGACTTGTTTTGATGAAACAATATATATGTATTGCCAAGAATACACAGATGAATGTAATGGTCTTTGGCGATTAGACCCCGCTGAGCTTCATTAGGTTAATTGAAAGCAATAATGTAAATTAAAAGATATAAAATATAAAAATGGGCAACCTGCACACCTGTTTTTTTTTGTCATTGAAACTATGTGTTCTAAGAAAAAGGACAAAAAAACTATCCAATTATTTCAATGTGTTTTTTTTTGTATGTAGCAGCTATCTGAGTCACACAGTGGTTCAGTGTAATTTAAAAAATCCACAGTGAAGTTTTGAATGACAAAGTTATTCTACATAGAAACCCCTTTAATCACCGAGAGAGAAAATAATCACTTGCGAGACAGAAAATGAATTTCATCTCAGAAATAAATGAGAAAGTATTGAAAATGATAATAGCGGTAATATTGCGCCACCGTGTCACCACTCTTTGTCCTCGGGCTCTTTCAAAGCGTTTCTTCATCTCGTTTCCTCCGCCTGAAAGCTAGTTAGTGAAAAAGCCCCAGCTCCCCCTCCACCTCCAGCCTGCTGAGAGCACTCGAAAGCAATTTTCTTTTAATCAAGTTCACTATAGAGGCCCTCTGATGCCAACATCAGCCATTTTGTTTTTCTGCGCCGTCTCTCCCTGCGTTAGATTGATTTCTTCATGAGCGATATGAAAGACACGCACTGATGAGGATTTGAGTTTATTACTCATACAAATATATCTGCGCTCTTAAGCAAAGTGTCTGCGTTTAATCCTGAGCGACTGGTAGTGAAGAAGCATTCAGATGTTGAATAAAAGCACCAATAAAGTAAATAACAATCGAAATTTGACTTATTGTACAGCAGAAAGATCTGTAAAAAGTACTTGAGGTTTTTAAAACGTCCTATTTTAGATAGATAGATAGATAGATAGATAGATAGATAGATAGATAGATAGATAGATAGATAGATAGATAGATAGATAGATAGATAGATAGATGGATAAATAGATAGATAGCTAGATAGATAGATATATCTGTATCTATATGCTTCTAAATCTGAATCTTATGTAAAGATATTTGTTCATTTATACATTATTTACATTACTACAGTATTGTTCTGTTATGTGAATTCATTGAAAACTCATGCACTTTACTACTTGTTACACTTTTTTGCATTTCGTTGACAATGAAGTTGAATCTAAAATCAAAAATAAGGTTGCTCTTGAAGCCATTGGTGAACGACAGAACAAATTACATTACATGTTACTTGTTAGATGCTTTTATCCAAAGCGACTTACATACTCAATACTGTGGGCAATCCCCACAGGAGCAATTTGGGGTGAAGGGACACAACGACATGCTGACTGCAGTGGGGTTTGAACCTGTGCTCCCTTGATCCGAACACCAACACTCTATCCACTGCGCCACACGCCTCCTGTTGCATGTTTTAATAAGACATGTCTTCCTAATATCAGTTTGTGAATGAGTCCCATTGTTCCTGCAACACTGATGTTCTTTCCTCTACACACCTTGTCTCCAGGTCAAGAGAACATGACGTGCCCTGAAGCTCTCGCAGGGACTGAAGACTGAACACAGAGGTAAGACTCTCTTCTCTCACTTTCTCCTGTAAAAGATTAATAACACGGATGGTATGATGGATGGTAGCCCAAAGTTTGCATCAGCCCCTTAATGAAGTGTGAACACCATGTGACGTTTTTTTTTTTTACACCAGTATGGTCACAGCCTCAAGGTCGATTCTAAATATTCTAAAAGTTTTCTGTCAATTTAGCAGCAAGTGTGATTTAACACAGAGCCTCAGAGAAACAACAGAGCAGCAGCAGCAGCTGGTGTATTTGCTTACAGTGCAGTGAAACTAACTCATGTTGTTTTAATAAAGTCAGTCAATAACAGATGCAGCTGCAGTCTGAATCCACGCTGCACAGCAGATGTAGATCTCAGCGGGACACAGCGCTCCTGCTTATTCCAATACTGCCTAAAATATATCAAACTGACTTGCTGACGAACAAAGAAATGCAGAAATGTTCTTGTTTTTTAGACATATTTTTGTCTAATGTTTGCAGTTAGCACTAAGCGTCTTTACAAGTGTTTCCAGTGACTGCTTCACAAAAAAAGCCAACAGTGAAATGTAAAGCAGGATTTCATTCTGCTTTTTGGGGGGTGTTCTTTTTCCTGTAGTGTGTTATAGGTTTTTGTGAATGGTCTGGAAACAGTGTCTGAGTGACATCACTATGTATCACTTGTGCTTCTATTGGCTAGCGCTCCAACACATTGTGTGATAGTCTAAGGGGCGGGACATCTCTAAGCAGTTGACCAATCACAACAGAGCCGGCCAGCTAACCAATCAGAGCAGACTGGGCTCTGGTTTCAGACAGAGGGTGAAAAGAGGTGCTGCAGCACAGACAGTATGAGAAAAATAAAGAGCTTTTTGAACATTAAAGCATGGAGACATGTCCCAGTAGAGACACTACATACTGATATACACCTGAACATCAGCAGGAGAGGACTCTTTAAAGTAGAGACACTACATACTGATATACACCTGAACATCAGCAGGAGAGGACTCTTTAAAGTAGAGACACTACATACTGATATACACCTGAACATCAGCAGGAGAGGACTCTTTAAAGTAGAGACACTACATACTGATATACACCTGAACATCAGCAGGAGAGGACTCTTTAAAGTAGAGACACTACATACTGATATACACCTGAACATCAGCAGGAGAGGACTCTTTAAAGTAGAGACACTACATACTGATATACACCTGAACATCAGCAGGAGAGGACTCTTTAAAGTAGAGACACTACATACTGATATACACCTGAACATCAGCAGGAGAGAACTCTTTAAAGTAGAGACACTACATACTGATATACACCTGAACATCAGCAGGAGAGGACTCTTTAAAGTAGAGACACTACATACTGATATACACCTGAACATCAGCAGGAGAGGACTCTTTAAAGTAGAGACACTACATACTGATATACACCTGAACATCAGCAGGAGAGGACTCTTTAAAGTAGAGACACTACATACTGATGATACACAGTTTTTTTTTTTTAAACCCTTGAAGAAGTGCCCTCTTCGATGCCTCCCTGTTAGATTAAAAAATAATAAAGCTCCATCTATGATGCCTTTATAGCAGATACAAAGAAAAGAGTGCCCCTTAAATTTGAGAAGAAGCTATGCAGCGCCCTATTGGCCGCCCTACATGCTGAAAAACCTGTAAAAACGGTGGACTCCAACAATGAAGACCGCTCTCAGAGAGGTTTGGAAATGCCAAGAGTGCTAAAAAGATGTCCATTCGACATAAATAATGTCAATATCAGCGTTCGATTCCATGAAATATATAACTTCAACATTAATAATGCATTTCCTATTCTTGGTTTAAAGTACATCAACCAAGTGAAAAAGGTCAGGAACTCGGAGAGAAGGAAGATCAATACTGTGAGAGTGTTTTACTCACCCAGGACCGCTCGTTCTATGAATTTTAAAGTGGTTTCACATGAAGCCACCATCTTACCCCACTTCCTCCTTTCAGTCCCTGCTGATGCATCGATCCCAGGAGGAAACCCTGTAGCGGCCATTCAGGATTAGAGGCATGGAGTCAGAAGCAAAGTGTCTTCTGTCCGCAGAGACTCGGACACTATTCCCTACATTTTAATGGAAAGCATTGAACAAGATGTTGAGTATTGTTATAACTCGGAATTAACTTTAAAAAATGTGGCTTTTAAACACAATATAAACTGAAAAGGGAATGTTCTTTGAAGTAAATGAAAACACTCCGTATTGAGAGTTTAATAAGACTGCTAGACTGTGAGACTGTTTTCAAACATGGGAACACTTAGGGTTAGGGTTAGGGTTAACCCCCTATAGATAATGCAAAATACAATTGACTAATCAAGACATGGCCAAACTATTGTCACATATATCAAGTAGACTACATCATACCCAGCTGCTTAATGTTTTAAATAACTACTTTTAAATGGCGGTATATTACTTCCTCCAATAAAAACTCTGAAACATCTTCATATTAGATATTAAAGAACTTTGTTAAACTCCAATCTAAGTGATAAAAGCTTTAATGTTTTCAGTTAAATCTCCTTGACTTTCAGCTCCAATCTTGTTTCATTATACTCATTTTCTGTGTATTTTCAGAGGTAAAACTGCAGTACAACTTGAGGTGATTGCTTTCACAATACGTTCCTCTACCTGTTGGTATGATGATGAGATTCTGGGCAACAATAATGCAGAGTTTACCTTTCAATCTGCGGTAATGAGAAGCGTTTAATACAGAGGTGGGAAGTAGTGGAGTACAAATACTTTGTTACTGTACTTACAGTAAGTACATTTCTCTGGTATCAGTACTTTACTCCACTACTTATTTTTCTGACGACTTTTTACTTTGACTTCTTACATTTTGAACACAAATACCTGTACTTTCTACTTCTTACATGTTGAACACAAATACCTGTACTTTCTACTTTTTACATGTTGAACACAAATACCTGTACTTTCTACTTCTTACATGTTGAACACAAATACCTGTACTTTCTACTTCTTACATGTTGAACACAAATACCTGTACTTTCTACTTCTTACATTTTGAACACAAATACCTGTACTTTCTACTTCTTACATGTTGAACACAAATACCTGTACTTTCTACTTCTTACATGTTGAACCCAAATACCTGTACTTTCTACTTCTTACATTTTGAACACAAATACCTGTACTTTCTACATCTTACATTTTGAACACAAATACCTGTACTTTCTACTTCTTACATTTTGAACCCAAATACCTGTACTTTCTACTTCTTACATGTTGAACACAAATACCTGTACTTTCTACTTCTTACATTTCCCAAACAGGCTGGTTCCTTTAGTTTGAATGTGTGTTTGGTGGCGTGTTCATTATTATTTAGAGTCATTGCGTGCCTATTGATTTGAACACGATCCGTGTATCCATCATTTCCTGGTCTTCTCTAAAGAAGAGGGACCAATGAAAACGTTGTCATGTTGCCGTTGTTCAGCATGGAAACATTCATTAGCTAACAATGACATTATTGTTCTATTAATATAAAGGGAGGTCAGGTACTCTTTAAAACAGCTGCTAGTTATGGGTACTTTTTACTGAAGTACATTTCAAAGCCCTCTTTACTTTTACTTGAGTAAAGAAGTTTAGTCAGTACTTCTACTTTTACCAGAGTATTTTTAAACACTGTACTTCTACTTGAGTAAAGGATGTGTGTACTTTTGCCATCTCTGGTTATATATGCATTGACTGGCAGCTACAGGCTCAGTTTTTATTGAGAGTCCAGTAGTCCATCCACCCTGAGTTATACATAATGTGACAGGAATGGAGGATTAGCATTTCAGGACAGGAGTTTAAATTGTGTGTTTTGTCCGTGTTTTAATAACGGTTCCCCTCACTGAGTTGCATCATATCAGCGTTGACCCTGATGGGCTGAGTCATGTGACACCTTCCCGTCTGAGTTAATGAGCTGACTCCTCTCTGTCTACGGGTCACGGTGATATTTACAGAAAGTGTTGTAGCGGCAGATACCCACGCCTCCCGTGGCGCTCCCTCTTCTCATTTGCATAGCTTTCAGACTTCCCTTCCTCTCTCGCCCTCTCGCTGATCGACAGGCTCCTTCGCACTTCTTCTCTTCAGTGTGTGTGTCGCACATGTTAATTAAAGCCCTCTAATTAGCTTTCCCCACTAAAAGGCCGCATTAAATCAGAGCTGGAATGGCAAATGATTCCTGGCATTAGCATAATTGTGTTTTTGAAGTGTAAAAGATTTGGGCATTAGGGGAGCTAGCACGCGTTTTTGTTTCAGTGATTTGTTGTTGTTAGGGGGTTTAGGGGCCCGAGGGTCCACTGGAGGTTGGCTGTTGTGGGTTTAGGGGCCTCGGGACCCTACAGGGGCCACACACTAATGAGGCCTGCTCTTCTCTGATGGAGCAGATACAGGGAAAACAAACCTGGGATGCGATACCCTCAGGTGGTCTGAGAGCCTGCAGAGCGGAACAGGACCACGGTGTGTGTGTGTGTGTGTGTGTGTGTGTGTGTGTGTGTGTGTGTGTGTGTGTGTGTGTGTGTGTGTGTGTGTGTGTGTGTGTGGTGTGTGTGTGTGTGTGTGTGTGTGTGTGTGTGTGTGTGTGTGTGTGTGTGTGTGTGTGTGTGTGTGTGTGTGTGTGTGTGTGTGTGTGTGTGTGTGTGTGTGTGTGTGTGTGTGTGTGTTGTGTGTGTGTGTGTGTGTTGTCAGTGTGTGTGTGAGAGAGAGAGAGTAGAGGAGACAAAAAGGACAAAAGTTAGTATTAGTTTGCAGTATTATTACTTACAGATTATTGTTGCTGTGTACCGTGTATTTTTGCACAGTTAAAGCTTGTATAAGCCAAGTGTGTGTGTGTGTGCGTGCGTGCGTGCGTGCGTGCGTGCATGCGTGTGCATGTGCGTGTGCGTGTGTGTGTGTGGTCAGTGTGAGAGAGAGAGAGGAGACAAAAAGGACAAAAGTTAGTATTAGTTTGCAGTATTATTACTTACAGATTATTCTTGCTGTGTAC